ATAAATGAAGAGGACCCATTGAGATGTTCACCATGTCCACTCTGACCACACCCGAGAACCTGTCAATTCACATAAGGTGAAGAAAGAAAAATTAAAGAAACAGAAAGAATTGACCATATAACATAATCTCAGATCATAGTTACAATCCATATAGTCATTAACTAAAAAATAAGAGGATGACGAAATAGTCATAGCCCATAACACAATGAAGTAATCTACATATGCAAGACAAAATATAACAAACAAAAAAGGGACAAATATACCATGTTATAATAATTCGTTGTTGAATGCCCAAAAAAATGTATTGGTGTTGATGCCATTATGATGGCCAAGCCAAATTGAAAAACTTTACTCCTCCATCACGGATTCGTAACACACGTCAAAATATTGAAGAGGCGATGCGGAACAAATGCATTTTACCACTCCATCGAGTTTTTTCAATTTTTTTTTTTTAAAACGCGTGTTTTTCAATGCTTTTTTCAAAATTGTCGGAAATTAACACTTGTTGAAAACAAAAAAAAATACTATTACATTAGATATTGAAATATCAATATTCATCTTGATACCATTTAAAATAATTGCACCTTTGTGTGTTCGTGCGCGATTTTGCACAGCAGTAATACGGTCTGTCCTTATTACTTCCTAAACTAGTAATGCATAATGATGCTTGGGTATGACAATTACAGTTGTAATAATCTTCAGCCATGTATTTAAAGTATCGACAACGCGTTGGACCAGTATAATCTTTACGACACACGACAAATTGCGTGTTACTCGATTCTAAATAACTATTAGGTTTATCCCGAATATTTACACTTAAACCACAATGACATTTGTACAAATTTCCATCATACATCCATCGGTTCATAGTGAGAAAAAATAACTTAAATAGAAAAAGAATTAAGCTGTAATCTATTGGTAAACTACTAAGATTAGACTATAGATTACATCGTTTATTTTTCAATGTTATAGAAACAGTGCATCATGATGTTTGTTACCAACTGTCAAATATAAAAACGTATTATCATAATTTAAATAATGCAAAAAATTGTATAAATAGTTAGAATTGAAACTGATACTGTATGTATAATAAGTATCAGCAATACCATTTCAGCAACAGTTTGAATTGAGCGGCGCGTCGTAAATTTTTTTATTTAAGTACCTACACACATATAAATATTTTTTTTAGTATAATTAAATAAATAAAATTCGAACACTAAATCATCGAGAATACTTTTTCTAATGAATTAATGCAAAAAAACAAAAAGAACAGAAGTATATAACAAAATTTGCCAATGATGGTTGAAAACTTTGAAAGCTCATAACTTTTAAACTGAACTTTGCCGACAAATTTTTTTTTGTATATTCTTAGTCAATATAAAAAACTGAATCAATTAAAAAAAAAAATTTGAAAAAACTCGATGGGGTGGTAAAATGCGTTTAAGCCGACGATGCTATTGATCCAAAACGAACAAGAAGTAGAGAAGAAAACGAATGATGATGATTGAGAGCTTCTTTTTGAACATAACCGTGATTTTTTTCTGATGTCGGTTTGATCACACATGGGAGAGGGTACTTGACAGTGTGTTCATTATTATGGTACAGTAGAACTCCAATTATCCGAACTCCGATCATCCGAATCGCCGATTATCCGAATCACTTTCAGAAAAAATCAGAAAAAAATTTGTCCTAAGTCCGCGGCGTCAGTGTAGGCACAACACGTGGTAAGAGTTCCCAATCCAGTTCCGGCGCATTGCAGTCACCTGTCATTGTTTATTTTGATTAGTCAGTGAATGGGTCCCGGTCCCCATTAATTCGGATAATTGGAGTTCTACTGTATTTAGAATGAGAATCACAGGTGGTAGGAAACATATATCAATTTAATAAATAATTATGTGTGTATGTGCAACACTGAACCTACGGATGTACGACGCGCACTGTTTGAATACAGTTACCTGTGACCTGATACTCATGATAATTTTATTACGTTACAACTTATTTAAATTTGTTTGCTTTTTTTAAGTCGAGAAAAATAACTTTGAAATTTGAACTAGCTTAATAGCCATTTTTTTCAGCCAATGGTAGCGACATACGGTTGGATTGGGTTTGGTACCGAGTCGGTAAAACTTGGGTTTAACGCGCTTGGGGTACAAGGTTTCAACCCCTGCGTATGGCAAGGAAATTTTCTGCATTTTTTCTTAATTCTTTTTAGAATAAGTTAGAATAAATTTTCAACTCATTTGATTTTTATCTCATTTAGATTCAATAACTTCAATAAAGATCAAGGATCCTATCACTGTAGTCACCCCTTGCGAGAAGAAATTTCTTATTCATACTAAAATTATTTTACTATATTTTAGATTTTAACTTCGATGCAAAGCTGAGAAGGTATTTTTTTGTGACTATAATTTATTTTATTTGCTCTAACTTGACCTACTTTTTTCAACAATACGTCAAATGATTACAATTCGTATTTAGTTGAAGATATTACTCTTAAAAATTGAAAAAATATTTCTTATTGAAATAAAAAGTAGCTTAACCAGCTTTTTCCATACAAACAATTAAAATAATTAATTTCTAATATTTTTAAAGTATTCAACTACAAAAGTAAATAATTTTACTTTGTAATTTATTAATTTTTTAACTCTATTTTGTGTGCTACTATCAGTTTATAATATTCAAATTTATTTAGTAACATTTTACTATGTAAATAATTTCTAAAAAAATTATTTTTCGTTTCACCTGAATTTAACAATAAACTTTTACTATTGTATAAAATTTTATAATACGCTCTATTGAGTAGATATTTATAACAACTTTTTTTTTATTGGTTCTTTTAGTAAAAGTAAATTATTAACATTAATTAAGTTCTGAATATATCCATTTTAGAATATTTTTAAACACCAATAATTAATTAGAAATGATTACTATGATTTTTATTTAAGTGATCTATTATGATAAAAATGTAAAAAAAAATCCAACTTTTCTGATAAATTTACTGTAAATAGTAATTATAAAATTTCCTGACTCCATATTAATCTTAACAATTTCATTTTTTTCTATTTAATAATGTCAATTTGAAACTTGCAAGTTGAGCTAAAAGTTATGGTAAAAAATTCATTTTTTTTTTTTTTATTTAAGCTCACTTTAAAGGACGAAATATAGAAGGTTAAAAATTATTACTTTTAACATATTAAAAATCAATATCAATAATAGTTTGAAAACAATTCAATATTACAATTATATAATATATAATTTTATATTATAATTTTGAATCTAAGAATTACTAATCTGTATATAATTAAGGAAATAGTTGATGTTGCTTTTGTAATTATCCACCAATATCTTAGAATTAAACATTATCTACAGGTTTGTATCAAAGCGTTTCTTATGATAGTGATTTTAATCACTATCAGATTAAATCTATAGTGGACCCAACTATGTCACGTTGGGGCCGCGATCCTACTGTGCTGGGTTATTTCAATTTTAATTTACTATAACTTTTCAAAAAATGTATGGATCAATACAATTATTTTTTCATAAATACTTTGTTTACTTCTTTCATATAATATAAATTTTTTGAAAATTTATCTTTTGACCTGACCACAGAGGGGATTAAAAATAACTAATTTTATATACCAGTTAAACTTTTTCAACTCAATTTTAGAAAATTTTCTGGAAATATTGACACATTTATTAAATCTTAATTTAAAGCTTGTGTAATATAATATACTATGCAAAACAAAAATTCGCGATGGAGTGAAAATTGTTATCACATTCAAAAATATGCTATTTTTGTGTTAAAATTCTTGGTATTTTATATTAATTTATTTTAATATACCGTATAATGGGGTACACTGATTTTAATAAATATTGTAATAAAAAGTGCATTAATGGAGGGAAAGGTGTTTAGGTTATAGTTATATGGATTGTGTTGGATTCAATCATATCGTCTTAATTCTACCTCTTACTCACTCTATCCTATTTCTTAATATTATATGAATATAGTGTATGTCTTATGACTACACTAACTTGATATCCAGATGGACTCGTAGATGATGAATTGTGATGTTTCTTGTTGACGTTAATATTTTAAGTTAATTTAAATAAATAAAAAAATACTGGCATGAGGGTCAAATTACTGAGTGTATTTCTATGATTTTAATTAATTTAATAAATGTGTAAGATTTATAATTAAGGTTGACAGAAGTGTCATGGATTTTACATTATTAACTTTAATATGAAAGAGCAAGAGTATGAGGAATAAAGAGTGAGAAATAGGTTGCGTGCTAATTTCCTAGCCCTTTTATATTAAACTAGTTGATAAAGTTTTGAAGAGAGGCTAGTTTTTCATAATATTTTAACTATTTTATCCTTCCGTCTGTTCGGTGCCACAGATGCGCTTATGGTAATTAAAAAGATTGACATTAATGTAAACATTTCTCCAAATGATCGATTTATTTGTAAAAAGTAATAAAATAATGTCGGTTAGAAAAGTAATTAAAATTGATAATTATTTATGTGAACAAATTTTTCTAGAAGTTTCTCGAATATCCTCAAAACTTCTATTTTAAATCATTACAGTATTATATAAAACTAATTGACATAGAGTATAAAGTTAAATTTATTTCAATTTTTTAGCTTCGATGCGAAGCTGAGAAGGTATTGGTTTTACTATGATGTTTTTTTTTTTTTTTTTTTTTTTTTTTTTT